ACCAGATCACACAATAAGTATAGTGTACCTAAATTCTATACATACACACACTGGTTATTCATTTTACATGCATAACATATATATATATATATATTTTAATACACACACATATAATCTCTACTGATATATACACACACGTTCATGCGTAAATACGTATACACAATCACACACAACATAGCATATATATATATTTATTCACACATTTGTTCTTATTGGTTATATTCTTATCAATTTTGTTATCATCAATTCATATATCATCTATCATATATTTTTATATATACACACACATGCGTAACAACTTAGATATATATACACTATATAAATACACACAAATACAAATTAGACAATTTAATAATATTCATATTATATTACACATATATTTAGACGTTCACACATAATGCACTATACACATACACATTTTTATAAACATATAATTTATGTTTTCGTACAAAATATACATAATTTTTACCTATGGTGTGATAAGAAAAACTTTATGAATCATTTCTAACTCATTTTACAATTTTTTTCGAAAATTCTAATACCATTTAGATAATTTTTTTCGTTTATAATAAAAAACACATAGATTAAATTATAAATAATTTTAAAAGCTATATTAGGCGAAATTAGAAATAGATTTTACTTTTGAACACGCGGTCCCAGTTGCTAACACCACCACACATCATCATACGCGTGTCACAAAAAATATCAGACATTGATGATTGAATCAACATCATATTTGGTCACCACCCTTCCATTTTTCTTCCTTAATTTAATTTAATTTTTTTTCTCTTTTTTTTTTTCTTTTCTTTCTTTTTTTTTTCTTTTTCTTCTTTCATTTTCCTTCATTCTTCTTCCTCTTTTTCTATAACTTCTTTTTTTTTCTTCTTCTTCCTCCTTTCCCGCAACTCCTCTTCTTCTTCTTCTTTTTTTCTTTTTTCTTTTTCTTTTCTTCTTCTTCTTTTTCCTTTTCTTCTCTCTTTACCGACCATGATTTTTTCTCTGTTTTCTTCTTCTTCTTTCTTCTTCCTTTTCTTCTCGCGATGTCTCCCCTTTCTGCTGCGTCTCACCTCCTCTACTGCTGCTCACTCTTCCTCTTCATGCAGCTAAGGCTCCTCCCCTCACTCCGCTCTCTCGGCCCCTATCCTCACTCAGCTTGACCTCCTCTCTCACCACTCGAACTCAGCTCTCTTCTTCTCTTTTTTTTTCTTCTACTATTTCATTTTATATATATATATATATATATATACATATTGCCGCTTGGTTTGTTCTCCTTTTCCCTACATTCTTTTTTTTCTAATAAATTAATATATTATATATATATATATTTCTTTTATACCTAGCTCCGACCGGATATTACACATACATTATTCATCAATATACTCAAGTCAGAATTTGATGAGGTATTAAGAAATATGAAGTATATATTGATTTGTAATCACTTTTAAAATTAAATATGTAAATTTTTTTATCAAAACTAACTCCATTATAAATAATAGAGTTTAGTGAAATCGTATTAATAAAGAATATAAAAAATAAAATAAAGACTACAAATTTAAATATTGGTTTTGTCATTTTAATAAACAAGCAGTAACATCTTTTTTTTTTCTAAAAACATTATATTGTGAAATTTGAATATATTTTTAGAACCTAAATTGAATAGAATTAAATATAAAAAATACTCATAAATTCAACATTAAGAGCATCAATTTGTACATTTAAAAGAAAAATATAACACTTCACAAAGATTTATACTATAAAAATTTAATGCTCATAGCATTTCAAGTCATAATACTTATCTCAAAAATTTTAACAAATACTTTTCTTACAAATATCAAATAATCTATTTTAAAATAATATATATTTACTAAAACAATCAATCGTTATACATATGTATATATATAATATTAAAAACTTGCACGAGCTATATCACAATAAACGAAAAAATATAGTTATTGAATAAAAAAATTATTCATAATGCTTATATTTTTTTTTATAGTTATGTAATAGACTGAGAAATAGTTAAGAAATTATGTTTTTTTTTAAAATTTTTTTTTTTTTTATTTAGTTTGATTCTAAATATTTTTTGTTTTTTTTTTAAATTTTTTATATTATTATTATTATTAAATTAAAAATTTTAAAATATAATATTAGTTGTATAAAAAATATAATATCACTTGTTATATGTAAACTAAATAGCAAGATTAATGGGGATCTAATGAACATTTACTTTTTCATAAAACGAATTTACTTATTTGAACAAACAATTTTAGATGTCTTATTTTTTTAGAAAATGTATAAAGATGCCATTAGAGAATTTTGGCCTTGAGAGTCCATCCTCCATTCTTTTCTTTTAAAAAAATTCCTGGTGCATAAATAAATTCCCATTTCTTCTGCCATGGCGCCGTCCGACGTGTACTGAATGAACGGTTGGATCACCCAGCATACAAGCATTATCATAGTAAACCCGATGGGAAATCTCTGAGCGGATCCCCTGTGCAGATTGTAGGTCTCAGTGAAAGTTAGACAGAGGTGCAACAATGGATGCAACACTTGCAGAGCTAGAGCGAGTCCAGACACAAATCCTCAGTCGCATATCAAACTTAGAGCTCTCTCTGCTCCCTCACAATCCTCTCCCATCGCTATCGCCATTTTACTCCTCTCCCGGAGCCAACGGCGACGGCGATAGTGACCGCGACACCGGCACCGTGGCTCGCCTCTCCAACATTCTCCGATCAAACGGCGTCAACAATTTCTCCTTTAAGAGAGTTCCTGCTGATTATTACGATCGATCTCTTGAATGCCGACGCGATCTCCTCGGTGCTGCATCCATCGACCATCTATGCAAAAGCATCGTATTGGTACTTTCATGTTCACTTTTGCTCCTTATCTGATCAATGCCTTCAATTTATTTATTTTATTTCTTGTTGATGCTAGTGTATTTTTACTGTCATCGATACAACTCTAAGGGGATTAAGATGCTGCATGCGAGATTGCTTCTAGTGTGCTTTATTGCTATTGAACCAGATACGGATAGGCTGCTTAGATAGAATGTGGTTAGTGTTAAGTATAATAACATAGGATGTAAACAGAAATGTTGAACTTTTGGTGGTTTTTCAATGTGTTTTAATAGTTATGGTCTGTTTGGCATGGGAGAAAAGTTAGGGGAAATAAAAATGCTGATATTTTCTTCATAAGGTCAGTATTGAAGATGGAAGATTAGGGAAAAAAAAGAAGAGGCAAATTTCTCTTTGCTTGCCTTGTTAAAATGGAGTAATTAAGGGAAAGAATTAAGTTATTAATTGCTACTTGACAAACAAGACACTTTCTAGCAAGGTTTTGCGCGTCTTGCTTCAATTGAGGCAAAACAATCTTTCTTCCAGCCCGGTAATGGTCCTGTCTTTGCCAAGACGACCACAAAGTCCACTACCATGCATTTTTTGGATAATCTTTTTCCCGAATTGATTCTTTGTAACATGAATAATTGTCTTTGCTAGGAGCCCAAAACCTAAGTTGTTGTGTATGCTTTTGCATGCCTTGAGAATTGGTTTCTGTTGGATACTAGAGCATAAGCACCTTCTTGAAGTCTACAAGGCAACCACATTGACTCTTTTTATTTCTTGTATGTCCAGGATAGCAACAATTTTTCTACCAAGTAGACCTAATAGAGAAAAACACAAGATATCTAAAAATTTCATCATATTGAGGATAGCAACATAAGACCATAGTTAATGCTGCCCCTTTGTGGTCTCGCTTTTGCGGTATTCAAGTGCTTTAGTGCAGCTTATATCTTCTTAAACTACCATTTGCTTTTCAGAATCATCATAATCGTGTAGAGGCTGACATGGATGTGCAGGATCATTATGATTGATAAGTTGGCTGCGATTTTAGTCTCCATCACAAATTTCCTACCTTCTTGGTGATTGTTGTCTTCATTAAAATTTGTTCCACCCAGCATTTCATGGATCTCCATGCTCAGTAACTTGCTGCTAGGTTTCTAAGACTCGTTGTTGATTCTAAATTGTTTACTAAAGGTCTTCACCCCTTGACTGTCATTGTTAGGGTGGTTGTGCTCCCATCCACTATGTATCATATCAGGTTAATCTTGCAACAATAACACTTGATGTAGAGGGTTCTCTTGTTAGTTTTTACAGTAGCCATTGTTACCTAGAAATCCTTCTAGGGGAAAATAGAGAGAAATCTTTGTAGATTTTATCTGTGCTAAACTTGTTACAGGGCCATCCTCTTTGTTCTATGGAAGATTTAGTGGAATTTGTTGATACATTGATTAACTTGTAAATTTTGTACATAGGTGGCACCACCTTGGTGCCTATATTAATACAATTCGTACTTTTTATTTAAAAAAAAAATCTGTGCTAAACTTATGTCAAAAAATTAGTCTGTAGGGTATTGGTTTACAAACTACCTGGAGCTAGAAACAACTTGGTCCTAATGAAGAAATAAGTAAAGATTTGCTAATGATTCATTATTTTCTTTGTTTGGGAAAAGTTTGGGTTTGCACTTCTGATTTTTGTTTCATCTTATCTGCGCGCTGTGGGAAAGACTAAGGAGCATAGATTTTGCTTATGGGCTGAATTTCTCGGTTTATGGGTCATTTGCTGGAGTGGAATCATAGGATTTTAAGCATCATTTTCAACCAGATCAAGCAGTTTGGGTAGATTGATTTTCTATGCTCCCTTTGGGCAAAGGATTTTCGGAACATACCTTTACATTGTTTGCATAGGGATTGAACCTGTATTAGGTCCCGATATATTTTGTTTGGTTCTTTTGTTCTTTTGTTTCTACTTGGAGGTTACTTATCCTCTCACTTTCATTTGTCCCTCTTTTATAATATTTCTTATCACATATATAAAGCTTTGCTGTAAAATATTCCTATTACTACGAGGGACAAAAAACATCTTTCTCCACTTTCTTAGCTTGAATTGGGTTGTTTGTGGGTCCATTTGGATGAGCAATGAGCTTGGCTGTATGTCTGGGTTAATAAGAAGAGGGGAATGGTTCATTCCTCTTTTCCTCTTAGCTACCTTGTGGATTATTTGAAGGAAAGAAACTGTAGGACCTTTGAGGATGTTGTTTTTTCTTTTGGTAGGGTTAGACCTTTGGTTCAGGATCTTGCATTTTTTGTTTAAGGGTCATCCTGTAGATACCAATAAGAATCTTGGGGACCTTGCTAATATTTTATTTCAGCTATAAATTCTTTCTTTTGGCATATGGGTGGCACTTAATTACTCTCAGAAAATAAAACTTCATATTCTTAGAACTAACAAAATCAAATAAAGCAGCAATAACACAAAAATTACAGACTTAATTAGTCGCAGTGAAGGAAAGATATAATGCTTGAGGTTCAAATTTTGATATCTACATCATTAAGGAAAGGTACAGTTGCTGCTGTTCCGAATCTGTGGGATTTCTGCATCACTATTGCTAAACTCTAGTTCTGGCTAACCACTTACAGTAATACAGTAGGATCAGGAAAATATACATTTGGGAAAGCTAATCTTCTTGTATGGGTGTCACCCCCTTGTGTCTCTTGATACAATCTTCTTTTTCTTCAAAAAAATTGTTGGAGAAAGCTAGAGCCTAGGGGATATTTCTTTTATCGGATAAAAGGCAAAACATTATTGGGAGAGGAGAAGAATAC